TTGATCGCGATATGCACGCAACTTGATCGCGATATGCACGCAACTTGATCGCGATATGTCCGCAAATTGATCGCGATATGCACGCAAATTGATCGCGATATGCACGCAACTTGATCGCGATATGCACGCAACTTGATCGCGATATACTCGCAACTTGATCGAGATATGCCCGCAACTTGATCGCGATATGACCTCACCTTGATCGCGATATGCCCGCAACTTGATCGCGATATGTTCGCAACTTAATCGCGATATGACCGCAACTTGATCGCGATATGTTCGCAACTTGATCGCGATATGTTCGCAACTTGATCGCGATATGACCGCAACTTGATCGCGATATGACCTCACCTTGATCGCGAATTGACCTCACCTTGATCGCGATATGCCCGCAACTTGATCGCGATATGCTCGCAACTTGATCGGGATACATTCGCAACTTGATCGCGATATGCCCTCACCTGATCGCGATATGCCCGCAACTTAATCGCGATATGCCCGCAACTTGATTGCGATTTGCCCGCAACTTGATCGCGATATGTCCGTAACTTGATCGCGATTTGCCCTCACCTATTGTAGATCGCGATATGTTCAACTGAATACTTAGCGTTTCAAAGAGTGAAACAAACGGTTTTATAATCAGTGTTAATTTTTGGGTAAAAAGATAATTCCTTTAAACCTACAGAAAAATCATGAACGTGTATCTAAAACTCTCATTGTCACGTCAAGGTGTGAGCTTTCTGCTTTCAAGATGCAAGCACTTCGCGATCAATGTGCGAGCATCTCGCGATCGATGTGGGAGCATGAGATGCGGTCTGAACGGACACTCTGGTGAAAAACGCACTTTGCATGTCCACAGCTTTCCCGCTGAAATCTGCCTAATTTCCTTTGTAAATCGATTTTTGTGAAAGTTTTTTTACAATTTTTATAAGCTCGTTCACTGATATATAAGCTTCATATTTTCATCAATCATTGTTCATGATAGGTCCTTTTAGTATGTAGTTTCTATTTTTATCTTGTTATTTCTATTTTGAGAAAATGAGGTTTTTCGTAGTGTTTTSTGTGWTGWCRCTGTAAATCGCCAGGCGCTCTGTTTACAGATTTCAAGACGCGAGCGCTCACTGGCGGGAAAGCTGTGGGCATGCGCAGTGCGTTTTTGACCAATGTCGTCTGAACGCGATTTGCATGCGAGCAAATGTTCATATATTTCTGAGCTGTTGTATTACGGGGCTTGCGGAAGTCCGTGATCTTCGATGCTTTAAGGAGTTGGAGCCTACCTAATGTTTGTTTTGCAAACGTTAAAGTTTTCCCTGATTTTTCAGAGAAGTATGATATGTAATGCATTATTTTTATATGTCTGTCAAATAATCAGTTTGATCCTTTCAGCCCGAACGATCAACGTTAGCAAGTTTCAACACAAGAAAACCATGGTAATGGTTGTTACGGATGTCGCAGTAAGTATCCTAATGACAATGTTTAACATAACATCGCCCCATGTAAGATAATCCAGAGAATTCCGGATTCCAATCGCTGGTTTCCGGATTCCGAAACATTGTATGCGTTTTTTGCATTTTAAGTTTTTGCTGGATTTCTGGATTCCGGATTCCAAAGTTATTTTTTTTACTGGATTCCGGATTCTCTTACATGGGGGCGAGCTGCACTTTTAACAGAAACGTTGGGCAGCGTAAGAAAGTGGCAGCTGCTGCGAGTGTTTGCTGTAAAGGGACTATAGTAGGATTTAGTAACTCTGCGTGTCAGTTAATGTGCAACCATGCCATCACAAAGAATGGGCACGTAAAGTATTTTCCAAATCTATTCGATTGTTATATTAAGTAAAAACTACAGTAGTATGCAGTCAACTCTCGATGTTACTGAGAGACCGAACTTTAGTGTCCGTATTGACGAGTGTATTTGAGTCGTTTCTTTGTATTTTTCGCTAGGGGTCATTTGCTTCACGTTAGAACATGATGCTCGCGGGGGTCATAGCGGGTTATCTGTGTGACTGCGGTGTCTGCAAGGAGAGAGTTGACTTAACTGAAAAAAAATTATTTAAGGGATTATTTAAGATTACATGAAAAATCCTCTGAAAACTTCATTACTTATTATGCTTTCTTCTTCTTCTTTTAGGCTCGTGGTATCGATATTCCTATGTTAGATAACGTTATTAACTTTCATTTCCCTGCAAAATCAAAGCTTTTTGTTCATAGAGTTGGTAAGTAATATGATTTGTATACACATGCATTCCTAGGGCCGGTTCACACTGACAGAAGCAGAAGCAGAAGAAGTGTAGTTTATATGTGTGAACCGGGAAAACACAAGCAGACACAGAAGAGGAAAATGAAAACTTTTTCATTTTCTTCTGCTTCTGTTTCTGCTTATGATGAAAGATTATGAGTGTGAACTGGGACATCATAAGCAGAAGAACATGCTTGTGTTAAGTGTGAACAAGCTTCTGCTTCGGTTTTTGCTTATGTCATAGTGTTGACCGGCCCTTAAGGATAGGAGCCTGGGAAGGAGATTGAAGTAGAGCATGATCCTGACCAATAAGAGCGCTCTTGAGTAAATTTCCTTAAATTATACGTCTTTCCCCAGGTCGTGTTGCCAGAGCGGGAAGGACAGGAACTGCGTATTCTCTAGTCGCCAATGATGAGGTAAGCGATGTGATATCAAATCAAATTATTAAAATTACTACATTTTTCGTTGTTTCAAGTTTCATTAGGACTACCAATATATCGTTGTTTAGTGCCTGCGGCAATCAGATGCGCTCAAAAGCGYGTTCACATAACGTTAAGTAAGTTTTTCTGATATTAGGTAGCCCACATGTTGGACCTWCATCTYTTTCTTGGTCGTCCACTCAGACTAGCAACCACWGAATCCACCAGTGAAGAGGCAAATTTATTCGGAGGTGTTCCGCAAAGCATTGTGGATGAGGAGGATGACTTCTTGAGAACTGCGCATGATCAGTCRTGTGATTTGGTAAGAATAAAGATCATGTTGWTTAAARGTCTGCTTTTCATTAGCAATACCAACGATGKCAGCCWCTACGGGAATATTAAGACTTCAGCGATTGGACTGTCTATTAGATGTTGGGCAGAACTATAGTTCCCGTTTGATAAATACAGGATTTTGCATGGGCGCGCGGAGATATGGATTTTATCTTCGTGTTTTGAAAAGACTTTCTCACGAGTGACCGTAGCAAACGAGTGAGGGATTTTCAACACGGGAAGATAAAATTCGTATCTCTAAKCGACCATGTTATATCCTCAATGTATTTCAGAGATAATTATATGATAAAAAAGCTACTTTTTCATTCCAGGCGTCTTTACAAGGAGTTTATAYCAATGCATATAAACAATATTTACGTTCAAGACCCGTTGCCTCGTCAGAATCAGTCAAACGAGCCAAGGAATTGGTTACGTCTTCCATAGCAGTACACCCGGTGATAGGTAAGGAGCCGTTTATTGTGCCTCCGTTTCCATCGTTACCGTGTGACATAATCCTRGCTTCCTCCTTCGCAGACATTTCGCTTTTCTAGTTTCAATGTATAAAAATGTCGGCAAAAATGATGACAATTGCCCTATTTCATTATGACGTCACAGTATGTTTACATCGGAAAACGATGCTCAAATACARTGGAAATTTGGATCCATTTATATTGTCTAYTCTGATCCCTTCTGGCGACCATAATCCTTAAAGTTAAAACAAAAGAATGTTTTGATGTGACGTCATAATGAACTAGGGCAATAGCCGACTTGCGAATTACGAATCAATAGTCACATACAAAGGAATCAAGACGAGGCGCCGTGCTTTTTTGTGAAAAATCTATTTTCTTTAGCACGGCGYCTCGTCTTGATTCCTTTGTATGTGACTATTGATGCGTAATTCGCAAGTCGGCTATTCAGTTTCATTACTTTTTACAGATAACATGGTACCTCTTTGCTTTAACTCGTTACTTTGCTTTAATCCTAGGGTCAGTCGGGGACCAGTCATCAATCACACAGGCACAGCTTCTCGAAGGAGTTCGAAACTTCAAATCTCGTCAGGTAAATTGAATAGATTCAGGAAATTTTGTTGACGTTCATGTACGAGCTCTTGTATTATAATACACCGGCTAATGCGACACTCCTACCTTAAAACCGAGTGAACTCTGCACATTCACTTAAGTGAGTTTCCAGGGTCTGTCAAATGCTCCGAGTTCTTTCGGGTTTTAATTCTTTATTGCATTAACTGTATTAACATGTTCCATATCTTTCCAACATCTATGAATGTAGACGATTTTTGAGGTGGGTCCAACCTCCAAAACCAATGGCCATCACGTGATGAAGCTTAAACGGTACGTGGTTTTCTTTCATATTAAAACTCTCCACTGTCATCTACATGTAGAATGGTTTTTCTTGTTTCTTTCCTTTTTTCGTCCTCCCTTGGCTTTCGTCTTATCTTTTCTTTCCTCCCTAACATACTTACTTCCCTTCCATTCTTTGTTATTTTCCTTCAAAAAGAAAATCCGATGTCGATTATTGGTATTCAATAAACACGGTGTAAATATTAGCCTGCGTAGCCAGGCGTTCCTAGCCGCTCCGAGAGAGTTTGGGCCGGAGAAACCCATAAGGGAACAAACAAATCCCTCTTGGTTACTCCGGCCTAAACTCTCTCGGAGTGGCTAGGAACGCCTGGCTACGCAGACTATGTAATTCTTAATTCAACTTTATACTTACAATACTTCTACATTACGTACTTATTCTTTATCTGTTTCTACTATAATACTCTTTTTCATTTCTACAGAAACGTAAATTTGAACTTTATTACTAAAGGCTAACTAGAAAACTTACCAGTTTACTTAGCCTTTAGGCACAACATTAAGAAATCCTTACGTCATATTCCTATTTATTCAACTTCATTTTCTATTAACTTAACTTGTAACTTAATGTGTAATGTGAATTAAAAAAAATGTTGTTGTTGTAAATACCGCCTCTGCTTGCCTGCTAGCTTCTAGTTTATGAGCCCTTTAAATCACCCCCAACCCCACCCCCAACGCCCTCATCATTCTGTCTTCCTTTGGTACAATGTGTCACTCTCGAATAAGCGGTAAGACCCATTGATCGATCACCTAACGATTCATTTAATTCCCACAATAGTAAAAGACACGGAGAAGTTATAGAAAAAGCCCAGCAAAGAAAACATGAACAACAGATGAAAGACACCACAAGACAGTTTGAGTCATCTGAACAATGTGACTTAGCAGATGATAGCGATGTCAAGGTGTGTTTGAATACTCTCGACTCATTTCAAATGCCCTGGAATCGAAAACTCGTTTTCAGTCAAGGTCACTCGAAAAGGTATTGGAGTGGGAAAACTCGCAAAAATCCTGGATTCCTCCTTGGATCTTTTTCATTCTGCATATTGATTTCTAACTTTTGTATGATAATGAGAGTATTTTTTAAGAATCAGACAGAAATTAACCAGAACCTTCAAAGAAGACTAAAATGAAAATAGTGCATGCAAATCGAATTCTCATGTTAATCCACTCAGCCGCATCGCTGTTTTCATTTATTCATGTATTTCACTATCAGCTTAACTTGAAGAAAGAGAAGTTACAATGAACCACCGCCTTACGGCCATCCGCTTAATACGGCCATTATTCAATTCAAATCAATTTTTATTTTTACACACATATATACTTATTTTACAAGGAATATTACGTTAAAACGACCAGAATTTTAGATCCCAGCTAGTTAAACTGTTGTAATTCTCTGCCCGGTTATTGCAAGTCACCATACTTTTCAATGTCCTTCGGTGGCCGGAATAGCAAGGTTCTATTTTAAAACTTATTCGTGACAGCTGTGTAATGGCTTGACCAAATTATGTTCATATTTTCAGAGTCTATTCACAACAGTCATTGATTCTGGTAATAAGAAACGCAATAAATATGGTAAGAGCTTTGTAAATGCCATTGTTATGTTTTCTTAGTATTACCATATTAGTGGACTATTGCAAATCCTTCGTTCTGATTGGCTACGCTACTCGGGGTCAACTTTCAATATTCCTCGACTAGCGAAAAGCGACAACTTTTTGCGTATTTTTAGTAATAAAAACATTTAGTTGTTTACATATTTCGCTCATTTTTTGTCCAACTATAGTATGGTAATACTAAAACAATTAGATCTCTCGGCCTCATGGGCTATCAGCTCGTATACGCAATGCATTGTAGGATATGTTTGGGACAATGGCGAATTTCTTTTATTTCCTCAAGAAACTAATCCCACATTGCAGTGTAAATAACGTAGGTTACGTAAATGCTTCAAAAGTCTATCACACCTAGAATACGGAGTACTTGAAGTCCCTTAATTTCGACAGGACGCTATCTTGATTCTGGATCCTACCTCACCTCGGCAAAAAAAGAAACCAATGTTGCGCGTTGATGGCGAAATTGCACTGTGTAAAGGCTTGATTACACGTGCAATTTTTGCATTGCGATAATCGTCACTTTGCTATCGCGCAACTAAAATCGTACGTGTAAAAAGCCCTGCGATTGTTCCCCGAAGATGGAAAATCGTCGCGAAGTTACAGCCAATTTTCAAGCATGTTCGAAACTCAGCTGATGGTCGTGCGACGATCGACGCGAGAATCGCTCTGCAAAAATCGCACGTGTAAACGGGCCTTAAAGGCCTATTTAGACGGCACAACTTTTGCTTACAACCATCGCATGCAACCTACGTAAGTCATCCTTACAACATGGCTACAACTGTCGTAGAGATTAAAAACAATTGTTTGATAACCCTGTGACAGTTGTAGACATGTTGTAAGGATGACTTGCGCATGTTGCATGCGATAGTTGTAGGCAAAAGTTGCACCGTCTAAATCGGCCTTAACAGGGCTCTCTCAACAGCTTTTGTCACCTTGCCAAACAATATGTGGAGAAAAAAAATTGCAGTGTAACAGCATCTTTACGGTGTCTTGTTTATCGTTATATCACGACTTTTTACAAGAAACTCTGACTTGAACGCTAAGATTCTATTCTGTTTATTAATCTTTCACCTTATTTTAGAGCCTTCAAAGACTTATCGAGATGAAAACTACATTCCTCACCGTTCGACAGACCATTATGCTGAAAAAGGATTCGGGTTAGTCATAAGTTAAGAAACCCTACAGCAAAAAAAAGATATAATACACTAAAGTTTTAATTTGGAGGTGCTTGTGGGCATCTCCTTATATTTACTGTTGAATTTCTAAATGACAAATTTAGTCGTTTTTGCTTTGCTGTTGTTGTTGTTGTTTTGTTTGTTTCTTGTTTTGTTTTGTTGTTGTTGTTGTTGTTGTTGTTGTTTGCAGCATTTTTTATCTTTTTTGACGTGTTTGTTCTCCTTTTGTAATGCCTTCGCAGACTTGAGATCAGTACATTTGAGAAAGAAGTAGCCGGTTCAGTGATCGAAATCAAAGGCGATGATGACCAGGGACTTCGTCGATCAAAAAGCGTCAAAAAATGGTATTACATAGCACATTTATTAAGGATTCCTTTGAACAGTTAGTCTTACAATATGGAATACAAACTGGAATAGTAATGTGGAGTAATTTTTTTATCATCGTTCGACCGATTCTTCTTTTCCCTTTTTCAATTTCCTATTTTTCTTTCGGCCTCCCTCTCCTTCAAATAACCTAAAAATGCTAGGTATACAAGGAAATTTTGTTTTCTGATGTTTTACTGTCAAAAGTATGTATTATTAATTGAAATTGCGACTTTTTAATGAAAATTCCCTGAAGATCAAACTCGTATAACAGCACCTTGAAAAATTTGGCCACATAAGTGTGGTGCTGGGCAAGGCGTCTTTGCCACAGACCAGGAATAGAATACTATAAAAATAATACTGTAATTTTGTAATATAGTATGGAATTGGTAAGTAGGTTATCTGGACACAGGTGAAAAACGCACTGCGCATGTCCACTGCTTTCCCGCTAAATCTGCCTAATTTCCTTTGTAAAGCGATTTTTGTGAAAGTTTTTTTTACAATTTATAAGCTCGTTCACCGATATATAAGATTCATATTTCCATCAATCATTGTTCATGATAGGTCCTTTTAGTATGTAGTTTCTATTTTTATCTTGTTATTTCTATTTTGAGAAAATGAGGATTTTCGTCGTTTTTCGTAGTGTTTTCTGCGCTGTAAATCGCCAGGCGCTCTGTTTACAGATTTCAAGACGCGAGCGCCCACTGGCGGGAAACCTGTGGGCATGCGCACTGCGTTTTTCACCARTGTCGGTTATCTGATTTTCCATTTTTAAAGGGACAGAAAGCGAAAATTATTTGTTGGAGCCGATGAAAATAAGAAAAAGAAGATTAGAACAGAAAGCGGTGCACTTATCCCTGCGACGTACAAAAAAGATATGTAAGTATCTCATTAGTAACTCTCGACTTACGGACACCCCGCTACTACGGACACCGCGATATTGCGGACAGTAAATTACTGAATCCCCGGCCGAAAAATACAAAGAAATGACTGAAAGTAACTCTCGTTACTACGRACTCTCGCTWCTGCRGACACTAAATTAAGGTTCCGAGGGTGTCCGCAATAGCCAGAGTTTGTACTGAATTTTATATCTGTGCTACGAATAGATCTCGAACTAAGGAAGGAAAATATGTTTTTTGGCTCRAGGCGAAGGGATCGCATTCGGTTCGGTTGACMGACCTGGYATTCAYTGKGTCTTGTGTCCATATACAAGGCACTTTACTCTCTTTCTGCCTTTCCATTTCTATTAGCGACATAAAACTGGAGGTCCCGTCACTCTTCATTTCATAGAATATCGTACCGAAAGGATGAGTGTCGAGTGTAACCTAGGTTACGKAGCCCCATGTTGTGATCAGGGTTATGGATATATACAAATTGTTTACCCTGATAGACTATTTCCGCGACAATCGCAGGGCTGTTTTCATGTACGATTCGAGGCTTGCGAGAGCAAAGATACTCCGGCCTTACGGACACCCCTCTTTTCCAACACCTCGATATTACGGACAGGCAATACTGAATCCCCACGCGAAAAAACAAAGAAATGGCTGAAAGTGACTGCCGTTATTGCGGTCCCGAGGGTGTCCGTAATAGTGACAGTTGACTGTAGTGGTTTTCGCTCGACAATCGCGCGGTAAAGGACGCAAGTATCAAACGAGCCTTAAGGAAGAAAGAGTCCAACTCTGGTGCCAGTACAGGAAGTCTAGAGTCAGGAGTTACAAGTGGTGAAGGCTAGTTTGTATTTTTATCGTAGATATAAGAACTGGATCAAGAAGAACAAGATGGACGCACCAGGAAGGAACATGGACGACAATGATGAACCTTCAGGACATCGCGGCAAGAAAGGTCAGTGGTTGCACATGATCTGACATCAAGCGCGCTAGGCTTTAAAACACAATAAAAACGTTCTAACATTTGTTCTTACTGKYGRATKTGAGATATTTKCGTGTGCGATATCTCGATTGCGATGATTTCGGTGAAATTGTTTAAACAATCTGATCGCATATGTTGAAGAAATATTAAACGGTGGGCGTGTCTCTGTCCTCTGATTTAAACAGGGTGGGAGTTAAAAAACACGAGAGAAGCACGCCTCTCCTCCTTCTCACTCTCACCGTGTTTATATCAGAGGACAGAGACAGAAGCGGCCGTTTTATAGTTCTGTTATCAAATTTTTCTGTTGCCAATCGTTGCCGGTAAGCCGTGTCTCTTTCCTCTGATATAAAAATAGTCGTCAACCAATCAGAGCGCGCGTTATATATCAAAAGTTTTATAAAAGATACAGAGAGAGCGTCCCTGGTTACGAAGCTTGACGTTTAGTAAGTTCTTTTTAATTATTCTCTCGCATACATAACGCTCTAATCTGATTCCTCCTTGGATGAAACGGTTCTAACATGACATCTTGCTAAGGAAATCTCCCACTTYCTTTTGTTTTAGAATTGAACTTTGAGAATTAATTATAGGTATTTGTATTGGTCGCGTCCCAGTTTTTATATTAGTAAGCAAGTAAGCAGTTTATCGATTTGTGTTTCAGGTAAATTSGGGAAACGAGGAACAGGGAAATCTAAGAGCGGAGCACCTCGGAGCGAACTGAAATCCAAAGATCAGATTCTCAAAGCAAGAAAAAAGAAAGAACAACTAATGAAGAGACAGAAAATGGGYAAAATCAAAAATCAAAGACGGAAAATGATGAAAGGAAAATAATGGTGCATTCTGGGATATCAGGGGAGGCGCCACGCCGTCCTCACGGTGGCGTTCAACGTTTCTTTATTAAAAACAACAAACAAACAAGCAAAGTTTCGAACCATAGCTATCGAAAGTCGTCAAACTACCCCACGATGTTATCCTGCACTTCCCAAATCAAGAAGGCGACGCACATGTTGAGATTATCAGCKCGTGTTTCTCTCAAAACTCAGCCAGTGCGAGGGAAAAAGGGCGTTTGCAAAAGTAAAAGAGTAATTGCAATGAAGGAGACTAGAACTACTTCTGAAGCGACATGAACTTCCCATTTTATTTGTGCATTTTGGAATTTACACTCCCTAAAAAGCTATCAGAAAAGTCACAGTCCATCACTAACAAAATCGTACACGTTATCTTTTTCATCTTTTTCATTTTATTTTGTGGTCTTGTGCTTGGKTTTTTTTTAGCCATGTTTACATGAAATAAAGAACCTCTAGGAACTAGACGCTTCTTTTCGTGGGTGTGTCTTAATTTTTAAAATTTTTAGTTGATGTGCAGAACTGAGTGGTTACGTAACTATATTTGATATAATAGTGATATTTTGTAAGTCATTGTATTCCTCTATTATAACAGTCTAAATCCCTATAAAGTTAAAAGCTACAATCTCGATTTTAGATTAGGCAGGCATGGTGAAGATCAGGCGAGTAAAATAACCGAGATCTGAAGAGTAGAGAAATGGCAACATTTAATCTCCTCTATAGGCAACTGTAYATTAATAACTTTTCTGAAGCCGTTGGCTTCCTTTTGCGTAATACTAGGAGATTGAGGACTATTCCAGAACAGAGTGAGAGAAAGGTGTCTGCGGTGCGAGGCCAGATTTACATCAAACTACATTTTGGCTTGTGGTGCAGGTACGGCGCCAAACAATATTKATATTGYGCGAGGTTACAGGCTAGTTTTGGGCCTTCAAAGCCCTTAACTGCCACTGGTGTTTTTACCTTGGCATTTCCAAGAAAACGCAGAGCTTCACCCCAGTGATACTTCTTACGATCGAAACCGTTCCTAGCAGGAATCTAAACATTCAAGAGATACCTGACAAACTGAACAGTGAATGGTATGGTATTGACCTTCGGTGAAGTGCGGAGTTTTGATAGATAGTTTGTGGAGAGAGCTACTGGTGATAAGTATTCTTGRATTATTCTCTKTGTTCCCAAWGATATAGTTTGTAGTTTCTTGTGAAGAATGTTACACGAAAACCTTTTTTTTAACAGAAATATCCTTCAAGGTGATCGAAACTTATATGTCCCCATTTACCCCGGAATGCGTCTACCAATCGAAGTCTTGCTTCTTTCCCAAAATAAGCTTGACTGACATTCAACATTTCCCTGGACATAGATCGATAACGGCAAACATCTGCAGTGTCCTTTGCAACGACTTTCCCACCAACCAAAAGTTCGACCCGTACTTTCGATTCTGTGCATCCACCACCAATCAAAAATCTAAAATATCGWCCGCGTATCATAAAAGGAGGTGAAGTCATAGTTCCAACCGGTCCGTCGCCTTGCCATCCACCGGRTGGAGAAGAAGAATTGGGACGATTTTCAAAACTTCCGATCCACCAATCACCTTTATGTTTTGATCGAGAGGCTATGGCCGTACCACCAAAGGTTGGCTGGTTGTTGAATGCTGTTCCTGTACGGCTCCACTCTTTTATGCCGTCCTCAAAGTCAAATACGACTGTCCATGCTAAAAAATTCAACAGTAAGTGGCACTTGGTTATTATTATTTATCTTATATAAGTTCAGTATATGAACTCTTTACACTGAGTAAAGATTGGATAAATTGATAACAGACTGCAAGTGAGACCAGAAACCTATAAGGGACTTGAAACGTGTAGCGMCCGTACATTTYTTTAGWACCAAGCGTCGGAATATTCAAAGYTCATTAAAAATRGGAAAACGAACGTTATRACCATATTTGGCCMGTTCTGGCTGGCTAGGRTAAATTCAGTTGTTCCAAATAAGTAAATAAGATGCAAAAATGCAAATTAGATTTGAATAGGGCAAGGGTGATCTCACACCCAGAGCACTGTGCCAATATTATGATMGGATTCAAGAAACTTTCGTCAAAATATCACAAATCTTTCATTTAGAACTTTCCACGAAAGGGACCTTTTTTGAGTCAAGTCTTATGATTTTCTAAAGCTCTTACTTGTGTTTTCTTGTTTGCAGTTGCATCTGAAGCTGCCATGCAGGTTTTCACATGTAGCGGTTTTGGGACAGTTGTGCTTGTTGGAGGTGCACTCGTTTATGTCTAGGAGAAAAGAAATACGGTGATTATTACTTTTTTAACTTATCCAGTATTAGACGTTTTAGAAACGTTACATGTTCTCTTGCATTCTTTAAGTGAGTCTGTCACGGTACGCGCATATTCCAGTAACTGTCGTTCGTAATTAAAAAAACAATAAGACACGTCTATTTAGCTTTGGCGCGAAATTGGTCGAGTCACGGGCTCAATGCCAAATTTCGAATTCAGAATAATACTTTCCACTATTTGTATTTCATTTATTGGCTTGCTGATGGAGAAGCGATTGAAAACTATTTGCTGAATTCCATGGCATAAAAAAACCTTAATTGATTTTTTAAAATCRTTTTAAAAAATGCAAAAAGGTGAAATAGATGCCCGTCGTAGATCCAAGATTGCAACGAATTCAACTTTCAATCTACTCTCTCGTCTTTAGCCGTCTTTACGTCCCGTAAAAATGTCTGATCGCGCGCACGCGTTCTGGCGTGACAGCCCTATTTAACTTCCCCAAAACGCAAAATCATTCTATTTCTTTGCAATTTACCTTGTGTGCAGTTACTTCCTTCAAAGCCGTCGGGACAAATACACCTATATGTAGTAGACTCCCCAATGTAGTCACCAGAACACGTAGCTCTGGCAGGACATTCATTGCTGGAGCAATTGGTCTGAAAGTAGAAATTATCATATTACTGATTGTGGCTGGACTCGTGAATCACTTCTCGCCGTTGAATGATTWCGTGGGCTTCCTGTGGAAGACCACGTCTAAAAATGYAAGTGGACTTCTCTTCGTCGTAAATATTACGCTTCAAAGTGGAAGCGCCTGCGTTKAAGATTGTGGCCTGATTGCGATATCTACGGTTTCATTGTGACCAGCTGGTTTGTTTAGAAGCCATGAATGTAAATCATATGACAAAAAAGCAAAGGCTCGGGTAGTACTTAGTTCAGTTCGGTAAAAAATGTACTAAAGATGTAACTTATATTGAATTTGTCTTGAGCTATTTCAAACAAATCGTGGCTATCGTGAAAATATGAAATAAATATAACTCAAGAAGCCGTCAATTTTTTCTACTTCATATCTTGAGACTTTTCAAGACTTTCTCTTTCTTTTCTTTTTTCTTGATAAGTGTAAACAGTTTTATGAATAAAGATTGATTTTTAAAGTCATAAAAATATAAAAATGGCTTTAAAAATCAATCTTTATTGATAAAACTGTTTATTAATTTTATTTAATTGTGATGACGTAACTGCAACCCAAGAATAATAACTGCGCAATTAACGGTTTCTGGTAGTTGTAGCAAATTAGTTTGGCCAAGGTGCAAGTGGTCTATTGTCGCTAGCTTTTCGACTTTGTTTTTCGGCATACTCCACTTTCGTATATTCCAAACAGGCTTCGCTCTATTGTGTTCTGTTCTATTCCGGGGATTAATATCTAGTCTTCCTGACTGACGTTGTCTACATTGTTCTATCCTCTCTGTACGACGTGGGTGTGTTTTTCCTGGTTAGCTATAATTCAAATGCTACAGTTGCTCATCTATAGCTGAACTTGATCTAACATAGTAACTGGAGTGATCTTGGCTGGCTCTGCTCCCTCATGCAGTATTCTGTCTTAATCCTTATTTAGCTGAGTAGTCAATATTACCTTAGTAATATAATTATTACCTTAGCCCTTTTTTTACTCCGACGAAGGATTAACATCCGAAACGTCAGTAAGTTTTTCCACATACTTTTTTACGGTGTTAAATTTATCTTTTCACATAACTGTTTCTTTAGAAACACCGACGCAKCTCACACTAGTTCACCGCTAGTTCCCACCATTTTAATATTACCTTAGTGTCGTAGAATGAGCATCCATCCATGTCAATCATATCTGCACCATGTCGTGATTGGTCGGTGTCGATCAGCTGACAGTAAGGTGTCTCTCCTGATTTGTTACAGTAATTGACTGACGAACACAAGGGTTCCATGTAGCACTTGTGCATGCATGAGTCGGTGTTGATTATTGGTTTGATAGTACGAAGCGTATGATTTGATAGAACTCTATCTTTGATCTCCGAGTTGAAGACAATTCTTCTGCATCCCTTACTATTGGCTCCTATATCGAATAACAACTGACTTATAAGATTTGCATATCACTTGTTAACACCAATTTCAAAAATGTCGGGGGAGAACGACGATTGTCTAATCAAGCCGCCAATGGCGACACAACTCGAAGATTGTCAGACAATTAATCTGGACATAAGTCTGTATAAAGCCTCTTACGAAGGATAAAGTTTATATGAATCGATGAGCATTAAATCACTAATCCACGTGGATCGGAATAATCCTTGAAATCATCGTAATAGCAATGCTGTATTTATGAGCCATATTCACACGATATCTCCTAAAATGACTTCTGAAATCAACAGATTCTTACACAAGAACTTCGAGACCTCAAAAATCACATTTTGTGTGTTTAAAAAGCCATTTCTGTATCAAAACACCTGGCCATCTTGGTTATGGATTTCTAAATGCCCGTATGTTTACAGAAAAAAAATTAGTGACTAATTAACTAGTCCCCCTCACACATCATCTCCCTCATCTCCCTCCTATAACTCTTCGATTGCTTCGCAATCTTCGAGTTAAAAAGGAATGCTTGACGAAAAGGAATACTATGATAAATATTACGTGACTTTTAAATCAGTTTTAATTTTTCTTCAAGTACCCATGGCTCTTTTCCGTCGTGCAATCGGAGTTCGACAATCCTTTTTCTAAATAAGGATATTTTATGAAAGATTTCGAAGCGCCTTTAACAACGTAATAATCCAGTTTCGAATTCTCCAATGCTCTGTGTTAGCCTCATTTGTACGCAAAATATTCCTAATAGCGAGAATAAAAGTGYAAAATTTTAAATCAATTTTATTGTTTCTCTTCACAAATTCCATGCGTTTTCTCGTGCCATCAATATAAAACAAAAGAATACGTTGCTTGGTTTTGAGGCTAACACAGAGCAAACCAGAACTCGAAATTGGAGTATTGCAGAGCAGATGGTTATAAAATTCAAGCAATGAATTATTGAGCTTGATAATAAACTAAGGCCTTGGGGAGTGTTTACATGAGATATAGGGATACTCCCACCAGGAAGTATTCAAACTGAATCGTCGGGGTGAAAGGAATTGGCTTTACAACTTAGGTAACGGCAACCTATATAATGTAAACAGGGCCTAGATTATCTRGTCTTTCTGGTTTAAAAGAAATCCAAAAATATATATTATTAGTTTTAACAAAGATAGCTCACGTCACAGCGAAAGTCTCCATGGGAACCTAATTGATATGCGTTCTTGCAATTTGCCATGCCACAATTGATTATTTCTTACTGAAGGCGCCGAAACACACACTATGGYCTCGTCCAAACGACTCCAGAGATTTTAAATGCGTGGTGTCTCTTAATTGTCTCCGGAGAAAAGAAAGCCTCAGGAATCGTGTGGGTCTGTCATCAAACTTGTTTTGCCATGCCAAATTCAAGTTTCTATTTTTTGAAGTTAATTTGCACTAAGAGCATACACTTTTGCCGTACTCTATTTCAAAAAATCAGAAAACCTTGACTGATATACTATCCCACAGTTCTCTTAAATGTTTTGGTGGTTGCTCAAACTATAGTCTGCATCAACTTTTTCAGTCCAAGATTCTTTACTATTATTCCTATTATTAATTCATTAAGCAAATTGAAGACATTTAGGAACTGAAGAAAATTTAATTTTCTTCGCACCAGACACCTAGTCCGTCAATCTATTTATTATATATTGAGAATAATTGCATTTTTGTGAAAGGTAAAGTACAAAAGTGAAGCTCCATATCGGTCTACTGAGGGTTTCCAATGGTAAAATTCGTATTTGCAAATTACTGGCTGTTCAGAAAAGTGTTGAGAATTGAAATATTGTTTAGGATGTTRCTGTAGACATAGTTGAGTGCAAATTAAAAAGCCATAGTCAACCAACATCACTTAAGAGTCTTTTGTTTTCGTTTTAAAATATAACCGCTTCGGATGAATATAAAAAAATAAAACTTGGTGTTCTTTGTCATAACGATTGCAAATGAATATTTATGTCATCTCATTTCCATGAAAATCTTAAAATAAGACTGCATTGAAAGACCTTCAAAAACATTTGCCAGCAGACGAAAAAGAAAAAAAACATCGAACCACCAACATAGGCATTACTGGGCGATACTGGACATTGTTTGACCTTTACTAAAATAACGCATTTTGAGTTGGACACCCAGCAATTTGTTGAACAGATTTCTGGGTGTCCAACTGAAAATGCGTTTTAAAATGCGTTTTAAATGCGTTTTAAAAGCATTTTTGATACTCAATGTGACAACACTTGATTTCGAATTCATCAAGCATGACAGCCAAATGGTGAGATTCGGATCGACCAGCAACATTTAATGTTTTTGGTGATCTAGCACTTTGCCTTTGTAATGAGCGTTTTGGTACATAATCCAGTTTCGAATTCTCCAATGCTCTGTGTTAGCCTCATTTATGCGCAAAATATTCCTAATTGCGAGAATAAAAGTGTGAGATTTCAAATCAATTCTATTGTCTTTCTTGTCAAATTCCATGCGTTTTCTCTTTTTGTTGCTTGGTTTTGAGACTAACACAGAGCAAACCAGAACTTGAAATCGGAGTATTCTCAGTAAAACCTACCTATGAACTGAAAGGAAACCCCTAGAAATGCAGCAAGCAGCATTAACTTGTCAGCACATTTTCTCCGTAAGGAATGAGTCATTCTCCAAATTCGGGAGTTTGTTTCTGAATCTGTGTGACGATAACAGGCTTCGCTTTCTTATTCTTTCAAACAATATTTTGAACCAAAAAGAAAACAAAAGGAGGGTTATTAATCATCTATTCAGCCAATTGCTTAGAAAATAACCTTTTTTTAATTATTTTGCAAACTTCTGACATCTCGAAGACAAATACCACTAACTTTCTTTTTATTTATTTGTTTACTATTTTTTTATATATCAAGCAGAGATGAGGTTTCACCTTAATAAAAGAGTTATATAAACAAAAATCCGGCATAATCAAATATTGTCCGTGGGCGATCCATCATAACTTGACCTGTTTTTCATCAGTTATAAAAATCATGTTTTGTTGGCTTCTAAAATTGTTCAAACTAACAGGACACTTATATAYTTATATTATGTACAGATAGAGAAAAATCTCACTAAAACACACAGTACAAAAAAAGGAATACTGCATTTTCGAATTCAAAGCAAATAACCGCTGTTTTATTTGACAGCAGATTCTCTTATGTAAAGACCAAAMACAAAAGAAAGCACGAGAAAATGTTAGTTAAATGTTGGAGTATTGATTTTTATTTCGATGATGTGTAAGTATAGGATGGCGATACATTTGCAGATRATGGTGTGTGAAGTGGACTAGGTAATAAGTCAATTATATTTTTCTGTAAACATACGGGCATTAAAAGTAACACATGCAGTGTTCTAATTTATTTGGTTCTCATGCTTGTTTGTAGTCCTATAATCAATTTATAATAATATGTTAATATTCTTGTATATTTTTTACTTTGTCAGAGTTGATGCACTATGGCCAGCAGTGTACACTCGTTGATATTTTTTCAGATGCCGGTTTTGGTCTGGTATGGTACAGTGTTCTTYGTTCTAATCTGAGGTACTATGTGGTTCGATATAGTATTTTCTGATGTGATGAACTGTGACCACACGCGYTGATTTTGTCAGATGCCGGTTTGGTCTTGTATGTGCAGTGTCCTTTGTTCTAATRTAGGCTACTACRTGGTTCGATATACTATTTTCTGGTGTGATGCACTGTGGTCTGGTGWTGGGTAGCGTTKCACTATATAGTGTAGTCTTTTGAACTTAAATGCTGGCGTTAGCTATTGGGTTCAGAGTCKWTTTACTCAGTGCATATGGTATCTTCAAAATGATCGACATTAATATGTCCCCAAATTCCAGTTGACTCATCAACAACTCGAATCTGAGCRGCSTGTCCTCTATAATTGGTGACGTCAAGCGCCCTCTCAGCCATTGTGTCTGTGTTTGATGATGGAACAGCGCTGTAGATCAACACTCCATTGACCAGAAGCTGRACATTCAAAGAACTGGCTGACCCTCCTCCAATGASGAACTTGATGGATTTTCCTTTGATAATGAATGGTGGCGAAAGAATGGTTCCAGCATATCCATCGCCTTGAATTTGGCCTGCTGCATGAGAGGGACTGGGGCGATTATCAAAAGTTCCGATGTACCAGTTCCCCTTTAGATTAGATGTAAGGCTGCCTCTTAGCACTGAGTTATCACCRTAGGTTGGCTGATTGTTRAATGCTGTTCCTGTCAGGGTCCAWCCGTCAAGTCGTCCACTTTCAAAGTCAAACAGGATGCATTCTACAGGAAGATTGCATAAAGTAAATAGCTATAAAAACGTTCACATGCAAACCAACATAACAACACATTTTTTACAACCATCACGCCTGCATGATATAGGAGCTCTTCCTTTGAGGTTGCCCTGCCAACCCATTCCTTAAAGTGCAACATGAGCCCTTTTACAAAGTTATTTCATTCCAATGATAATTTCGAAAGCACTTCTGCAAAGTAAATAAAGCAGTCAAATATATATCTTCTGATTTGAAAGCATTTGAAAATCGAAAATGCAAATTAAGTGACGTCAAAATTTCAACTTGAGGCAAACCAGTTGAATATTTAGAGAGACGGAATTTTATCCTCAATATCAAAATCAGAACAAAACACAGTATCAGGTAGTGGTCATAGCGGGACTTAAAACCGGACCATCGCTTTGCAATACCAACACGTCCATGACCTCTCGGAAAAAGCTGCTGACGATAAAAGAAAGTCACCATAAACGGAAACACATTTAACACAAAAGAACCTTGGTGAACGCTCTTTGTTTTTTTAAAAATTATGTGTTCTTTTGTGATTGGCTCGAATTAAAGATTGTGATTCTTTTGTATTTGAGAAAATCGCTCAAATGTTGTCAGATGAATGGGAAATTTTAGGCACTATTCATAAAGACGTGAACAGTGTTAGAGGACATAAGGTTAAAGAGCAATGGAGTCGTTATGATTTGAATCAATATTTTTTTTTGCACTATTATGTTGGATACTTTCTTAAATCTGTTTGTTGTCTAACTAATACAAATAACTAACYCGACGAAGTCACCAGAATGCGTCGAAACGTAGTATGAACATTAAAACCCAAAGTGAGTTAAATAGATCGATAAGAGAACCAAATCACAATTCTTGGTGTGCAATCCCCAAAGTGAAAATTTATTAGTCGTTATTTTCAAAAACCAAGTAGTGAGTCACAAAGAGCATAGTCAAATTATCTAGAATACGAGCTTTTAGTCCTGTAGCTTACTTTTCGATGAAGATATAAGCGAATAAAGATTTGAAAAAATTGGTTAATATGTATGGGAACGCCATCTTGGATGATAATATCTTGGATTTTTCGATATTTTTTGCTTGAGTATGACGTCACATGCAACCCACCAATAAGAGAACCAAATCACAATTCTTGGTGTGCAATCCCCAAAGTGAATATTTATTAGTCGTTATTTTCAAAAACCAAGTAGTGAGTCACAAAGAGCATAGTCAAATTATCTAGAATACGAGCTTTTAGTCCTGTAGCTTACTTTTCGATGAAGATATAAGCGAATAAAGATTTGAAAAAATTGGTTAATATGTATGGGAACGCCATCTTGGATGATAATATCTTGGATTTTTCGATATTTTTTGCTTGAGTATGACGTCACATGCAACCCACCAATAAGAGAACCAAATCACAATAATACCGAAATCGCTAATAAGATTTTCAAATCCCCAATTAATGTAACTGAGTTCCAAAAAATTGTTCTCTAAGAGAAGAAACGCCAGATTCGTCAACTATTTCAAAAGGATTATTACTCTTTTATGCTTACTCCGGTCTTTTGTTTTCTTTTTCACCTTGAACAATGTTTYTATAAATAGTGTCATAATCGAGTCATCAAGTCTTAAAGTTGCTTAGCAGTAAAATGTTTATTTCTCCCCTCAGGGGGTTAATTGAGGGAATTGAGGACTGCGAAATCGCACTTTGTTATTCATTTTTTCCATTTTTAAATAAAACACCGCCATAGGAAATCTGATAAAGCATAGCGGTGTTGTTTTTACATTATTCTACTGAATAGGATATCTCATATAGAAATCCGTTTGYAAAAGTGCAGGGGAATATTTTAATCGTGTAGCAACACCGCCAAGGCGTTTTGATAACCGTAACTCACAACAAAAATTAAAAGGAAAACCTTAAATATWAATCAACTTCTAAAATGGGCAATAACCCGTCAACAGCAAACCTATCATAGGTCTCCTCCTTAATTTGTTAATCATCATGATTAAAAGTAAAGTATGTTTGTATCGTAATTAATGTAGTTTGTTTACRTTGAAGACGGATTGAAGAAACTTACTTTTCTCGCAGTGTCGACCTGCGTATCCATTGGTACAATTGCAGAGATATTTGTACGGCCCAGTATTTGCGATGCACTCGCCGCCATTTTGGCATGGATTGGCAACCTGGCAAATCGTCTGCAAGGCGTCAATAACAAATGATAAACGTTTGCTCTTTATAATCGAAATGGAATACTTTGATAAAAAAAAACTCCGTCTATTTTCAAGAAAAATCATCAATTCTTGTTTATACGGCAAAATATGTTTTAAAAAATCTGCAAACGTTGAGTTTACATTGTGGATATAACTATCTATAGTTCTTACGCCTAAATTCTCAACACAAGTTGTGCAGACAAAATTGATATAACTAGCTTTCAGAGTAGAATATTTTGAAAAAGTAAAATAGGTTTTGTAAACTGTATTTTCCTGCAATACATGATCAGCTTTCCAAAACTATGCGAAGACTGTTTTTTAAAAAAATATTTATACTAAATGATAATTATAAAAAGAGAAAAACACAATATCATACACAAATGGAAAAGATCAACGATACTGAAACTTATATCTAATTTATACTGTTCTTGAATCATGCTGAAGTACACAGAAGAGTGAAATAATGAGAATAATAGCGTATTACCTCAACTTGAAAACTATAAGCATCTGTCCTGGAGCTAAGCCTGTTTTCRAACTCTGAACTCGACCAGTTGAAAAGCATGCATTGAAATTGCACAGGMTTGGTCTTCAAATCAATGCTAACAGCAGAGAGACAGTTTTGATGTTGGATGCACTCCATTTCACAATCTTCAATGCTTTCTTTGCTTACATTTGCCGTGGGAATTTCGTTTTTGCCATTGAAGTTGATTTCGGTTCCATTAGGACTTTGCTGAAAGTTTGCGTACAAACATTCACTATCCTTGCTGTACGGTGCTGCTTGGAATTGAGCTTGAATAGGCAGRAGMAAGATAAGGCCTACTACCGAGTTTAAAGACATCTTTGCGGTTTTTTTAAGCTTTCTTCTCTTGTTTAAGAAACTGAAACTATAATGTGGATCAACTTTGCAGAACGATTAATAGATATTTCGCAATATTCTAGAACAAACGMGATACGGACTCACTCTGAGATTGTATACATAAATATATAATACATATCTACACAAAAGGCTTTCAAAACGGTCCTCAAAGGATCAAAAAGATAAATAACTCTGTGCCATTTCAATGTTACTTGGTTTTAATAAAAAAGGCCGGCTATGACAACAAAAAACAAACAAACAAAAAAACACAAACATTTACCATGTTGCATGAGCTACAGTAATAAACTTTGCGTAACGCTGCGATGACGTTGACGAGGCCGACATTGGGCGAGGGGAATYAATTATTAATTTCTTCATTTGTCAATATTTACTGAATTAAAGTGGAGCTTGCATGAAAATATGGCCTTATTTTAAAACTTCAAGCAACATAAATATATGACTCATTTATTTCTATTAAAAACGGGAAAATATTTTTTTTTGGAATTATCCCACATCAGAGAAATTTTAATTCAAAAGATGGAAGAACAAAAGGATGGAGTAAATGACGTCATGATCTAYTTCAAATTTTTTTGCCCAAATTGTTAAGGATTTGTGTCAATATCTTCTTGAAATCTGTTGCTTCATGATTATTAGACCCATATGGATAGGTCTGGATTGGGAGAAGTGGAGAAGCTCGATAGAGGCCTTATGCAACACTCGGTGCGAAACAGCACGATGATGATGATGATGATGGATAGGTCTATTTGATTTCCAAGTCTTTTCTAATGTTTCGCAATTTTCACCTGGCTCAATTCTCGATATTTRTTTATATTCGTACGAGCTGTAGAGTCTTATATACTTGACCCTTTGGACTTTCTCAGTGACGGCATCGGCAACATTRTTTACCGATTTCAAACTTTGTTCATTTTTTTTCATTTTTTTGTATGGGTATTCAAGCAAAATATCGAATGTAGCAATTGCAGCAAGTCTACGGATTCACGGTTTATGTTTTTTTTTTTCGCCTGTATTTCTATTGCCGATAGCGAACGAGGGCCTATTCTTTATCTGCTTCTTTATTATTCTTGGATGCGATCGTACTTTAGATAATCGACCCACATTTTACATCTATTTAACAAATAGATCTCATTTTTCCGTGCGTGTGTACTCTAATAGATACACAGATGACGTCAAAATGTAGTGAGAACAAAAATGTACGCACGAGAAGCAGTCGAGTGCGTGACTGTTGTTCTCGCTACATTTTGACGTCATCTGTGTATCTATTAGAGTACACACACACGGAAAAATGAGATCTATGTGTTTTATACAACAAACAATTAGTTTTGACGTAATCCGTGTATCTATACTTTGATAACACACGAAAGCCAACCAATCAAAACGTCTGATTTTACTGAAAAGTTGTATAATTGCTGATCATTAGGCTATGTACGTGCATAATGTCAATACTCCCCAGTTTCGAGATCGTTTTTGTAATATGTAATATTTTCTTTTATTCAGAGCAGAGAATCTATTGTAATGCAAATACTTTGTGTACAAATAAGATAATATATTCAAGCTTGCTCAAAAGAGAGTTCGAAACTAATAAAAGTATTTTTATCACCTGAATACGTGGCAACCAGGTGGAAACTTATAATTAGAAATCATAAAATATTAATTGAAATCTGGTTATGAATTGAAATTAAGATTTATAATTGAAACATTTTCTAATTCAATGATTTACAATACTCCGACCAATTCAAAGCGAATAACTGTTTTATTTGACAGCAGCCGGATTCTCTTACGCAAAGAACTTGCCAAACAGGCTAACTCTGTATCCCCAGAAGTCTCATTTCTAGAATTCATTAATGATTCATGAGCTATTAGTCCAATGATCATCGAACTATCGGGTCACATGATGGGTCACATGATGATTCCCTATAAAGTACTGGTGTTTTATTAATCAGTTCTATATTAGATGTTGAAGTTCATCAACGCTCCCAATAACACTTCCAAAGGCCTGAGATTAAATGACGCATTCTAGACCTTTGCTAGAGGTTTTAAATCAGTTTGAATCAATCTGCAGACATGTACTTTAGCATAGACTAGCCGTTATTCTTGTGATCAAAAATTCTTTCAATTGTGGCACAATGCATATTCTCAAAGTTTAATATGCATTATCACCTGCAGCTGGAATCCATGTATTAAAATATAAGGAAAGTTAAGCGTGGCTGTCACTCTGTTGTGTTATATGAAAATATTAGCCTAATATTTCTCTAAAGGGAAATGCAGACCTGTAGTTTCCTAATAAGAAGCTAACGCGGTCAGTGAGGCGATACATTTTGAGACGATCATGTCAGGKGAATTCCTGAAATCGTTCCATTCTTTTTATTCTGACTATTGAAATGATTATATGACCTACATACATTATCATAATGATTCCTAAGATTTACAAATCATATATCAAGAGATGTCATGCTTATAGTCTTGCGTCGTTCTGTCTCTACACTTCAGTCTATTCAGATGCCCGTAAAATAATCGTTTCTTTTTGCACTTTCTWTTTTCTTGGCGAGTTCCCTGTGAATTTATTTTTTCCAAAAGTTGAACCTCTGATCTTCAGTCACTCTAAATGCAGTTSTTTAACCTATCACTCTTCTTAAAAAGCCATTGGTTTATGACTGGCAATCATTGAGGACATATATCTGCTGGCTGGGGCATAAGATCAAATAAGAACAGGCATAATTACTCGCCCAACATCCCTCTGGCTTCCTCCGAAATATTAGCATCTTCTAATCGGAAAATGTATCCTAGAGAAGCAATTATCTAGTAAACTATTAGCATAGGATATACAATGGTCATTTATATAATRTAAATTGCCTGATAGGTCAAATTATACAAAACGGATCTGTTTTTGGCAAGAAATCTGTGAATCCTTTTCAAAGTTTTTTAGCAGAATACCTAATGTGTAGCTTGCTCCTTTGACTGGATTCGCGGCTTCCTTTAAAATCCCTTAGAATCCCTKGAATTGTAAGCTTGTTTTCAACTGCGATGGAAAAGCTCTTTTTAGTCCTTTCAACTGAAGATTGAAATATTGTTATTATTCTACACTGCCTTATATCATACAGTTGTCTTGCACGTGATCAATATTGACATGGGCCCAAATTGCATCGGATTCATCAACAATTCGAACTTGGGCAATTTTTCCACGRTGATTTGAAACATCAAACGATTTCTTGGTCATAGTTTCCGAATTTGCCGAGCTTMTCGCCTTGGAAACCACTGATCCGTTAATTAACAGCTCAAGGCGTTCACTTTCTAATTGACCTCCACCAATGAAAAATGTCAACGCGCTTCCAATAATTTCAAACTTTGGTGACGACAGTGTACCCGTAAGAAGGTCACCCTGTGTAGCTCCGGCTGCATGAGATGGACTGGGTCTATTTTCAAATCCCCCTATCCACCAGTTCCCTGTAAGGTTTGAAGTCTCTCGATTTCTTTCCTTAGGATTATCTCCATAAGTTGGCTGATTTTTGAATGCTGTTCCTGTCCTAGTCCAGCCGTCGAGTCGTCCAGATTCAAAGTCAAATAATATGCATTCTAGTGAAAGATGGAAAAGAAAATAAATATGTGTGAACATACCAATTTTGATATTGAAATGTACGTTTTAAATGTGCAGACTTTTGTAACTATAAAATACTACAAAAATGAGTATAAGCACTAGGCTGCTATTCGCCTTCTTCAAAAATGGTTGTGATCTCATTCACATCTCCTCGTCTTGGCACATTACTCCTTACCATGGACTATGATATTAAATGAGAGCCCATAAGAACTCTGATATTTAGGGTAACTCTATGAAAACATAGAACATAATCCTTACTTTTGTTTTGGCAATTTCTTCCAATATGATTRACKGCGGCACATGTGCAGGTGTAGTTAGTTCCTCCATCCTTCGAGATGCACTTACCACCATTTTGGCAAGGGTTAGGGAAACAGGCAGTCTGTAAAAGACAACAATTGTAAGTCTAATAGRAGCRTGATGAGGACCGGCCGATAACGTTAGCTCAAAAGTGACTGTCACTCTGTTCATCGAATGATGGGTTATTCATWGCATACTCCATTTTGKGGTAAATTTTATCTTCTTGTTGAGGTTTTAATTTAAGGTGAAAAGCAAGGAAARCGAGTGTGCAAATTTGAAGAACAAATCAATAATCTTAGTGATAAAATGACAGATGTCAACTGCTCGTCAGTTCAAGTACACACCGCACAGTCCGATGTCACGCAGCGATCAGCAAATGTAATACAAAAAGACACAGAGGATATCACATGGTCGCGCTGAGATACGGATTGAAAAGATCTCTCACCAGTGAGCGTAGAGAAAATTCTTGTCTCCAAGCGACCATGTAATATTCTGTTTATCATATAATTACATATGAAAGCAAATTATGCCGTAAAATACCTTTTTTTCTTACTTCCACTAAATAGAGAAACCTCGAATGTCAGTTATTTTTCATAAAATATCAACTTTACGAAAAGGAGAAATAGCTATTTCATAAATAACTATATGATAAACATTGTTATCCTAAATAGATTGAATGATGGCTTCCATAACATTGATGTGTACTCATTATGTGTTGGGGTGATAGCTATATTCTTGTTATTTTGTCTTATATATCATTTTGTCATAAATGACAGAGAAGTGGACTGGCATGTGCAAGATAAAACCTCTAATCGATTCACATGCTACGGAAACAACGTTCTGCATTTAAGTTTGCATAGTCATTACCCTGGGAACCAGAGGCTGGACTTACTAGTTCTTGTACTTTATTTACGGCGCAAAGCGCCGTCCTTGAGGCCGAAGGCCGAACCGTAAACCTTCGGCCTCAAGGACGGCGCTTCTCGCCGTAAATAAAGTACAAGAACTAGTAAATCCAGCCTCTGGTCCCCAGGGTATATAGTCATGAAGTACCAATCTATATGGTGGGAATGTCGTTGTGAATAAGTAACATTTCAGTATAGTAAATACTTTGGTAACAAGAAGGTTTTTTTTCAGTTTAATATTGTGCTCTATATTGCTGATTATGTATTAAACAAGACACCACGGATTGCAGGAAAGGACCTGAAGAAGAAMATAAATGTACTGCCAGTTGCAGAAGGATGAATATCGCTATGCACACGATAAATTCTTATCTATACCTGAAAGAAATACGCACAAAATCCGTGCAAAATTTATGAAATGGAAAACCTTGAACTCCGGTGAAAAACRTTCTCCATCCTTTGCACAGCCTTGAGCCTCAACCGATTTGGCAGAAATCTAATAAAATGGTGGCAGCTAGCGGTAAACTAGTGTGAGCTGCGTCGGTGTTTCTAGAGAAACAGTTATGTAAAAAGATAAATTTAACACCGTAAAAAAGGATGTGAAATAACTTACTGACGTTTCGGACGTTAATCCTTCGTCGGAGTTTTACGCATTAATCTAATCAAATAAGTTCAATATGATTGGAATTACTTCGTAAAAACCTACTATAGTTAAATATCTTCACTTGAAATGTTATCATGCGTTCTCCTTTCATAATATAAGGGGTGGCGAATGGTAAAATCCGAGATCGGTCGAGACGCCGAGATCGCTGTTTTAAAATCCGAGATCGAAATTTTAAAAATTTCAAAAATCCGAGAWGCGAGGTTAATGTTTTTATGCTCTTCTTTATCGAGTTAACGCGAAAAAAAACACATTTATTTAGAATAATTATGCATTAAAAAATTCTTATAAATCAACGCTCTCGAGAGCATGCCGGCAATTCAAAATCCGAGATCTTGTTATAGAAATTTCGAGATCCGAGGACAAAAAAATTGCCGGAAACACGACATTCCGAGATCCTTTTTTTGGCAGTCCGAGATCTCGAGATTCTACAAAAAATTGGCGAGACCCAGTTATTTCTAGGTACCATTCGCCACCCCTAATATAGTATACGATTTTAAGATGTTTTCTAAGCGTCCGAGAGCTTTTCTCGCAAACGTTCTTGTTTTCTTTATCAGTGAGTTGACAATTCTAATATTTGTAACCTACATACGGCGGTGGAAGTTAATAGAAATTTACAGCTTTGAGAAGTCAAAGGCTCCTTTGATAAAGTCGATATCTAATTACTATAGTTGAGTACTCACCTGAAGTTGTAAAAATCTAGCACCTGGCTTTGAAGCGAGATGAGTCTTGAAGTCTGCTCCTGTCCAATTACATATTTCACAGAGGAACCCAGAACCAACCAAAGGAATAACATTCATCGAGAGGCAATTTTTGTTTTCTAAACACTTAAAGTAACAATCTTCATCGTGCTTCACCGTGTACTTTGAAAGAACACTCTCCTGCTTCATTAAAATTTCCCCATTTGAGGTTTCAAACATATTGTAATAGCTGATTTGACCTTGATTATGGATTTGTGAAGCCATCTCAGAAGCTAAAATTGCTAAAACTAAGCAGCGAAGAGCACCGGTGCAGGACATGACTTGATTGGAATTGAAGCCTTTTGGCAAAATGACTGAAATATGTTGCGTACCGTAATATTTGTCGAAATTRAACAAACTTGAAACAAAATAAGATCAATAAGTAATGAGATTGTTTTGTTTTGTTATACGCTTTCAATATCTTGTTTGACAAATAGAGAAGTTTACTGCGTAGATATCCTACATACCCAGAGATGAAGACATGGGTAGTAGTTAGTGGAGAGTCGAAAACCGTTCGCGATACCAATACTGATTGGTGCTGCAATTGTATTCTGTTGGTGTATTTTATAATTTGTGTGTGTGTCACTATTCAATTAAATTTGGCACCTTACGCTTATTAAATAAATAATTGTTCTCAATGGTTGATCAAAGGCAATGAATATTTGAGAATTTTCTTTTTAATTTGTAGATTAAAAAAATGCAGCTCAACATTTGACGTATGGTGGAAATATAGTGGTGATTTACTAAGGAATTCCTTACTTGAAAGAGAATGCACTTTAATTTGAATGATCTTCTTTTGTATTTTATTGAATTCCAGCTGCCGTGTTAGAAAGGCGATTATTCCAACCGTTTCACTGTTATTATGAGGGCTCATTTAATTACTTCAAAAGTGGAGTTAAAAAAGGTACACGATGTTTCCTTTTTTGGAGTAACTTTAATTTCAGCTATTTAACTTCCATTTAAGATCAAAATTTACTCCCATTTTAGAGTAATTTTTACTCTACACTGGAGCTGTTTTCATTATTTATAACAATTGAATATCACTAGTATTCTTAATGCCAATGGTACCTTCCTGTCATTCAATATCTCTTGGACAATTGCCCATCATCWTMYCCGMATTTTTCTAAATAGTTTATATAAACGCTCTCGCAATTAGAGTAACAGCGTTTTTTCTTCTTATAATATTTATCCAGAAAATGCATTTAAGTATTCGTTTTAGTGTAAAGGCTTTCGGTAGTACGTAGTAGGCTATTATTAGCCATCGATTTTTATTTAAAAACAACAACAACTAACGGAATGAGCATGTTTAAGCCATCYAGTAGYATT